CAGTGTGGTGATTCCTTAAGGATCTAGAAATAAAAATACAATTTGACCCAGCAATCCCATTACTGGGAATATACCCAAGGATTATAAATCATTCTGTTATAAAGACACACGCACACATATGTTCATTGTGGCACTGTTTACAATAGCAAAGACCTGGAACCAACCCAAATGCCCATCAGTGTTAGACTGAACAAGGAAAATGTGGCACATATACACCATGAAATACTATGCAATCATAAAAATGACTTCGTGTCCTTTGTAGGGACATGGATGAACCTGGAAGCCATCATTCTCAGCAAACTGACAAAAGAACATAAAATCAAACATCGCATATTCTCACTCATAGGTGGGTGTTGAACCGTGAGAACACATGGACAGGGAGGGGAGCATCACGCACTGGGGTCTGTTGGGGAGGTGGGGGAGGGGCAGTGGAGGGGTGGGGAGGTTAGGGAGACATAAAACATGGGGAGAAATGCCAGATATAGGTGAGGGGGGATGGAGGCAGCAAACCACCTTGCCATGTATGTACCTGTGCAACAGTCCTGCATGATCTGCACATGTACTCCAGAACCTAAAGTACAATTAAGAAACAAAGAAAAAAAGATTCTAGACACTGGAGAAATAAGAAAATATTCAAAATAAGACAATGATTTGACTAAATTTGCATTTTAGGAGTCTCACACTGAATTCGATATAAAGGCCAGATACAAAGGCAGAGCTAGGCATATAATAGGCCCCTAGAAAGTATTTGTTGAGTGAATGAATGGTTTCAGGATATGAATGGATTGATATAGGCATATCTGAAGGCAGAGAGTCCTAGTGATGACTGTTGCAATAATTATTTAAATTAATAATGCTGAGGATGGGGAGAAGAAAATGTATTTGAAAGCAATTAAGGAGGTATAATTGATAGAGATCTTGATGATTTTTATATAGGTGGGAAAAAAGAAAATAAGGAATGCAACATGAACACCAAGTTTTTACATTAAAAAACTAGATAGAGAAGGCTAGGACACTTCTTTAGGTAGAAGACACAGAAGGTAAAACAAATAATGGTGAAGATGATGGAGCTAAATCACTTAAATTTGGACAAGTTGGATTTGAGATGTGGTAGAAATATACAGTTGAATGTTAAAATCAGGAACACAGGATATAAGTATGACTTGAAGATATAGATTTGAGAATTAACACTGAATAAACAAGTCCCGCAGAGCAGAAAAGATCAATCATGTAACTTGAGTAAAATAAATAGAGGATCCGAGTGGGAGTAACGTCAGCAAGATGGCTGCGTCCACTCTCTCTCACAGAAATACTAACTGGCAAATATCCACAGACAAGAATAACTTTGTGAAAATCCCTCAGCCAAGGGTGAAGTGTAAGAATCCCATTGGCCCACTGAGACTGAGGAAAGCTACATTATAGGGGAAAACAAGAGTTTCACTTTGACCAAATTGCTCCTTCTCCAGGCAGACAATGCCACACCAAGAGGTTTTCCTTGGGTCTACTCTTTCATCAGTAGAAAAAAATGGCCTAAGGCAGACATTCAGCTTCCTCAGCATTCCACATCACTTCCAGGAGGCTCATTTATTTCTTTCTGCCTGGGACACATAAAGGGAATTGGCAGGGCTAGACCACCTGAGGCCCATTATGAACAAAAAAGAGGGTCAAGTTCACAGTGACCAGCAGTGGCACCACATCCCTGCCAATGGGATTGCTCAAACACAGAGTTCAGAAGACAAATGCTGCCAAGGTTGTGGAAAAAAGGAATGTTTTTACATGGTTGTTAGGAGTGTAAATTAGTTAAACCATGGTGGAAGACAGTGTAGTGATTCCTTAAAGATCTAGCGACAGAAATGCCATTTGACCCAGCAATCCCACTACTAAGTATATGCCCAAAGGAATATAAATCATTTTATTATAAAGACACATGCATGCATATGTTCATCACAACATTATTTACAACAGCAAAGACATGGAATCAACCCAAATGCCTATCAGTGATAGACTGGATAAAGAAAATGTGGCACACACACACCATGGAATACTATGTAGCCATAAAGAGGAACAAAATCATGTCATTTGCAGGGACATGGATGAAGCTGGAAGCTGTTATCCTCAGCAAACTAATGCAGGGACAGAGAACCAACCACTGTATATTCTCACTTATAAGTGGGAGCTGAATGATGAGAAAATATGGACAAATGGTGGGGAACTACACACAGTAGGGCCTAACAGGGGTGAGGTTAGGGGGAAGGAAAGCATTAGGAAGAGTTTGCTGCACAGATCAACTATTCACCCAGGTATTAAGCCCATAAGGATGCTGGGCTTAATACCTGGGTGAATAGTTGATCTGTGCAGCAAACCACCATGGCACACTTTTACCTGTGTAATAAACCTGCACATTCTGCATATGTACTCCGGAACTTAAAATAAAAGTTGAAGGAAAAAAGTCCTAGAATAAAGCCAAGAAAATATCTGTCTTGACATTGGCCTTGGCAGAGAATTCCTGGCTAAGTCCTCAAAAATAATTACAACAAAATCAAAAATTGACAAGTGGGACCTAATTAAACCAAAGAGCTTCTGCACAGCAAAAGTAACTGCAAACAGAGTAAACAGATGATGGATTGGATAAAGAAAATGTGGTATGTATAAATCATTGAATACTATACAACCATAAAAAAGAACAGAATAATGTCCTTTGCAGCAACATGAATACAGCTGGATGCCAATACCCTAAGTGAATTACCACAGAAACAGAAAATCAAATACCAGATGTTTTTACATATTAATGGGGGCTAACCATTGGGTACATGTGGACATAAAGATGCGAACAATACACACTGGGAACTACAAGAGGGGAAAGGAAAGAGAGGGCAAGTGTTGAAAAACTACCTATTGTTAGGTACTATGTCCACTACTTGTGTGACAGGTTCAATCCTACTCCAAACCTCAGTATGACACAATATACCCTTGTAACAAACCTGCTTATGTACTCCCTGAATCTAAAATAAAAGTTGAAAAAATATGTCAGTTACTGACAGATGAATATGACATGTTCTCACTCATATGTCAGAGCTAAAAAAAAACAAAATGGATTTCACAAAGAAATGGATTTCACAAATTAGAGAGTAAACTGGTGGTTACCAGAGGCCCAGAAAGGGAAGGGAGTGGGAGATGAAGGGAGGAAAGAAAAAGGGAATATAAATATACATACTACCACTGAACTGTACAATTAAAAGGGTAAAGACAGTAAATTATATTTGTATATTTAACCTCAATGAAAAAATTTAAAAAAATTAAAAGCTTCATACAGAAAATAAAACCAAAATGAAAAGGCAACCTATGGATTCAGAGAAAATATTTGCAAACCATATATATGATGAGAGACTAATATCCAAAATGTATAAGGAACTCATGCAACTCAGTAGTTATAATGGTAATAATTTGATTTAAAAATGGTCAAAAGACCTATGCAGACATTTTTCCAAAGAAGACATATAAATGGTCAACAGGTATGTGAACAGGTGCTCAACATCACTAATCATCAGGAACATTCAAATCAAAGTCATCATAAGTTAACATCTCACACTTGTTATTGAAAAGTAAGAGATAACTTATTAGGAGGTTGTAGATAAAAGGGAGTCTTTGTGCATTGATGTTGGGAGTATAAGTTGGTACTGATGTTATTTATAACAGTATAGGAGTTTCTTAAAATATTAAAAACATAACTACCATATGAGCTAGTAATTTTATTTCTGGGTATATATCTGAAGGAAACAAAATCCATATGTTGAAAAGATATCTTCACTCCCATGTTCACTGTAGCATTATTAGAATAACCACAACACAAAAACAACCAAAGTAGCCATTGATAAATGAATAAAGAAAATGTTATGAACATATGTATACAAACATACATACTATTATATACAACATGTATAATATACATGTATTATATACAATATGTATAATATTACTCTATATATAGGATGTAATATATATAATATATACATATGTATAATAATGTTATATATATATACTATCTGTAGTGAGTATATGTGTGTATATACAATGTAATGTTATTCAGGCATGAAATAGAAGGAAATCCTGCCATTTGCAACAGCATAGATGAACCTGGAGCACCTTATGCTAACTGAAATAAGTCAGCCAGAGCAAGACAAATATTGTCAGTAGAATGGAGGTTGCCAGAGTCTGGAGTATGGGAGGAATGAGGAGATGTTGGTCAAAAGGTACAAATAGCCAATTATAGAGAATAAGTTCTAGGAATATAATGCACAACATGGTAACTATAGCTAATAGGGCTGTATTGTGTAATTGAAATTTTTAAGAGTACATCTTAAATTCTCTCAATACAAAACATAATATTGGTAAAATGTGAGATGATGAATGTGTTAACTAACTTGAATGTGGTAACCATTTGACAATATATACATATATCAAAATGTATGCAATTTTGTCAATTAAATTATACCTCATTAAATCTGGAAACAAACAAATAGAAAAAAAGAGGGCCCAAGATGGAGACGTGAAGAATGCCAGCCATTCTGATGAATTTTCCTACTTTCCCATTGATTATAAATTGTTTTCCTGTCTGTTGAATTATCTAAAGCATGCTGATAAAAATTTGGTTTTTGAATGCCAATTTCATAAGCCTAACCAGCATTAAAACACAAAAGAATAAAAATGGATGAATATGATGGTGAACTCTATGTATGAGTAGGAAGATAATGACTGTGGTGGAAGATCCAAGTAAGAAAACTGATGAAAAGGAAGATGGCTAAAAGATATCCTGGCTACAAAACTCAAGGGTAACTCAAGCTTCAGTTATCAGTAATTCCAGTTGTCAGACTGGAATTATGCCTGAAGCTTAGCAAGACAGAGTATCGCTGAGAACTTAGACTATGAATTGGCTAAGAAGCCAAACAATGAAAGAGATTGGATTTATAAAATTAACTGTTCTAAAATTTTGCCTTGTTTAGGTGGATGTAATGACTTAGCTGGATATCAAGATTACTTTATCAAGATGACATTTCTCAGTCTATAGAAAGGCAGATTTCTCTATAACATGGCTAAATAAGAAAACCACAGGCTAATAAAGTTCTTCAGAGGCTATGGAATATGAAAACACAATTGTGACCCAAAAGTAAGTTTAGTTCCATGCACATTTGTGACACTATTTTACCAGAAGATAAACATATCCAGATATCCTTTTATTTGAGAGGGGCCTCATGGCTTTGATATAGCATGCATATATATGCCTAGAGTTTTACACCTGTAGATTGAAGAGATTTCTTCAAATTTATATCATTTTGCTTGCTACTAAAAATTATTACCACTTGTTATTTTCTCAATTGGAATAAAAAATAATTACCCACCATCACTCCTATCTTATCCAGTAATATTTGAAAGACTAATTAACTTTTCCTATGTTTTTTCCCCTTTCTTTTGAGACATATGATTTCAAGCCATTTGGAATGTCATATTTGTATTCATTCCACCATTCTGGAATCATTTTTGTTTTTGTCAGCTTGAATTTCTCCAAGGACCCAATCCTACTTGTACCACCAAAATTTGAATAGTTCTTTGCTACAGATTGACAAATATTAAAAATAGAAAAAAGATTAAAATCCAATTCAATGTAATACGCTTCAGTCATCTAAAACCTAGAATTTTAGCTCTGAGTATTTTATTGCTGAATTGTGTTTCACTTTGCTGACCATAACATTTTTTTCTTTTTCAGACAGAGTCTTGCTCTGTTGCCCAGGCTGGAGTGCAGTGGCATGATCTCAGCTCACTGCAGCTTATGCCTCCCAGATTCAAGCAATTCTCCCACTTCAGCATCTGAGTAGCTGGGACTACAGGTACACACTACTGCACCTGGTTAATCTTTATATTTTTAATATTGATGGGATATCATTATGTTGGCCAGGCTGGTCTTGAATTCCTGACCTCAAGTGATCTGCCTGTCTCAGCCTCCCACAGTACTGGGATTACAGGTTTGAGCCATCATGCCAGCCTGTAACATTTTATTCTAGTCAATCAGTCTTGAAAAATAAAGTCTTGTTTTCCATGGTACCTAAACAAACTGATATGGTTTGGCTCTGTGTCCCCACCCAAATCTCTTCTTGAACTGTAATCTCCATGATCCCCACATATTGAGGGAAGGACCTATGGACAAGTGATTGGATCATGGGGGCTGTTTCCCCATGCTGTTCTTGTGTTAGTGATGGAGTTCTCATGAGAGCTGATGGTTTTATAAGTGTATGGATGATCATTCTTCACAGCACTCTCCCTCCTGCTGTCTTGTGAAGAAGGTGCCTGGTTCCCCTTCACCTTCTACCATGATTATAAGTTTCCTGAGGCCTCTCTGGCCTCACGGAACTGTGAATCAATTAAACCTCTTTCCTTTATAAATTACCCAGTCTCAGGTATTTCTTGATGGCAGTGCAAAAACTGACTAATATGACTAATACACCAACCTCTTTGATATCAATTTTGTGTTAAGAATAAAAAAAAATAAGGCAGAAAATTGAGATAGACATATTGAAATTTAAAGAATATAACTGGGTTTGAAACAATGTTTTAGGTAAAAATATTTCCAATGAAAAATTTTTTCATAATGAATGTGGAGTGGTGGGGAAATTTTGAAGGTGTTGAGAAGTTATTTTAAAAAAGGAAAAGTTGTAAGAGTGAAAAGAAATAGTGTGGTTCTATCTACTGGTTGAGAAACGTTGAGAGAGCAGTTTTAATAAAACTTGTTCCATTGTCTCTTACTGCCAAGTCTTTCTAAAAGACCCAGTTCAAAGCTTTAATTCCCTTTTATTCCATCCTCTTCCTTCCACATTGTCCTTTTCTTCTCTTTCTCCCCTTCACTTTCCTTCTTTCTTTTCTTCTTTCTGTTCTCCCTCATCACAGAGTTTTGCAATAAGTGATTCAAAAAACTTGCCAGTATGCATACAAGGGTAAGAAATAAATAAAGGAAAGGGTAAATATGGGTTAGAATAACTGGGAACCATGCCAAATAAATTCCATATTTAATGCAGTTTAATTCACTTCAGCAATAATTTATAAAGTACCACCTACATGCAAGACATCCTAGTAAGCACTAGGGACACAAAGATGATATTTAACATACTGTCTTAAAGGAGTTTATATTCAAGTATATTTAATTCAGAAATCTGGTGACTGTTTTTACTGGAGAAAATTGTCAATTTTCCATTTTTCACCTAAGATTTAGTAAAGAGTTTATATAGCAGCATTTGAGGAGTAAATAACTAAGATCTAGCAAGGATGATTGTTTGCTATTCTGTTGTCTAGGACAATAAGTATTTATCAGTGGAGCTCTTTAATGTACCTAGTGCAACCTTGACATTTTAGACTCTAAAATTATACCATTATTTAATTTTATCCACCTACAAACAGGAACATAACAACTGGACTAAACTGGAAGCTCCAAGATGATTTTACTTTGTTTGGGTAGCTTTCCACTGAACCATAGAGTTAGTTAGTCATTATGGCAGTGCTAGTCAGGGTTTTCTATTCTAAGAGTTATCTTTCCGCAGCTCTCCCTTCTTTCCTTCCTTCTTTCCATTTCTTTCTTAAGCATCTATTGACTGCTACAAACGAGACACTACACTCCAGTAGTGCTCCCTTACTCTGCTCTTACTATCAACAAGCAAACATTTCAAGGGCCACCCATGACAACTGAAGGCATAAAGTGTATGAATTATGTAAGTTTCATAGTGTCTGGTAGTTTCCATATATAATTTTTAGATTTCATTTTTTAAATCAAAATATGAACTTTGTTTGAGAAGTCAAAGACAATGACATAAAAACGTTAACAATGAAGTATGCATGGCCGGTACAGTGAAACTGCGAATGCCTCATTAAAAAAAAAAAAAAAATTAACAACGCTCTACATCCTCATTTCCTGCTCTACAAAGATAAATTCTTTTCAATACTTTTAGCTCTTTCTTTTGTAATTTATTTCTGTATCTCTAACATACCTATATTTTGCTTAATTAATCTTTTAATTACTTTTTTTTAGTCTTAGGTATTATCTAATAATCCTAACTGTGGATGGCAAGTCTTCAGCTCTCTTTTATCCCTACTCCCTACCACCTTTGTAGTTATATAATGAGTCAAGGTGTAGACCTTACTAGTGGAGCCTGAGTAAAAGTTGGCTGGGCGATGTGTTATGTATTAGAAATCACAGACTTGCTTCTTATTCTCTCAGCCTATCTTTTTGCTTTTGTCATTGCTACAACAAATAAATATGTATCAAAATGTAGCCCACTGAAGTTTGTTTCCATGCCTTTATTGCTTTCTAGTTTGGATCGTATCTGCTGCTCTCTGTGGGACACCTTTGGAAATGTGTTCAGCCATATCATGCATCCATTGCAAAAATTAACTTCCCTAGGACAACTCATCTAATGGAGGGGAGGACTGGCAGACAGATGTTCCCTTCTTCTGTTTCTTGGTCTGACCCAACCCTGAAGTTCAGTCTGCATATTATTTTAGAAGACCTCTGTGGGACAAAGCCACAATTGTCTATGGTGGTAGCTAGTTTAACAATACATTGCCTTTTTCGTTTCTCTGGTTTCACCCCTTCCAGGCTCCCTCTCACATTCCCCAAAAAAGCTACCTCCATGCAGGTTCTTACTCTAGGCTCTGATTTCTGGGAAACCCAGACTACTACAAAGACTTTTGGGAAAGATGATTAAAAGGAGAGAAATGTACAAGGAGAAAGTTCTGCCCTTTCTCATCACTTTTGAACATGATCTTGAGGATATCATGCTAGGTGCTATAAAAAAAAGAAGCCAGAGAATCACAAAAGAGGGGGCATCCACAAAGAATCCCAAGGAAGGATTGCTGAAATTGCTAAAATGCCTAATTAACAAATTCCAGGACTGCCTTCTTTCACATTTCTTGTTATGTGAAATAATAGTGCTTTAAAAATGTTACCTAGGAATTTCTTAATTGCAACTGAAAGCATTCATGACACACATTGCAATCTTCCTTGGCTTTAGGCCTGTCCTGGTGGGGATGGAAAACAACTTCTTCTTATGTCCTAACCTTTGCACATATTATTCCTTGTACTGGAAATGGCCTCCTGATTTCTTCCTTTTCTCCCTGTTTGCTCCTTTCCTTGGCTGTCTAATTCTCATTTTTCTTCAAGATTCAACTCAAGTTCCACATTTAGTTTGAATTAAATGCCCCTTCTCCTTCTTGCCTCATACCCTTGCATACCTTCCTCAGAACACCTTACACAGTGTCTTATAATTTGCTATGTGCCTTTCTGTCTCTAAGTTGTAATATTTAAGCTGTAATATTCCATCTAAATCGTAGTATTCCTAAAGACAGAAACTCTATTTCCAGGGCTTAGTACAATGCCTAAACTTTTAATGATATATTTACTGAATGATTAGGTGTGGCTAGGAGGGGAGATGCTGGCAGAATGGTAATATAGACAAACCATAGGTTGGACTCAGAGTCAAGGTCATTTGATCTAACACCCCTATTTCATAGAAAACAAAACAAGTTGCATATCAATAATAAAGAATTTCTACTGTATAAAAATTGCTAAAATATTCTATGAAACAAATGGATGAGATTAAGCAATTTTTATGATTCTTTCCAAACAATTTAAAAAATAACTTACTTCTTCTTAAAAAAATTTAATGCCAGATACAGGTAGAGAAAGTCCTTGAGTCAAGGTTTCTTGACAGTCTTCTTAAAATGTCTCCTTTGTCAGAGCTCCATGGATACATGAATAGGTGTCATTATTGAGGTTGACCAAAACTTCTAGCCCAAGACCCCTGTTAGCAAAATTTCTGGGTAAATAAATTTTCCAAAAAACAAGTAGTGAGTTAGTTATCAAGCTTTTATTTCTCAAACCTGCCATTCTACATTCTTTTCTGTGATGCTATGGCTGGGACCCTACAGACCACATTGCTGCTTTGCCTGCCTGCTCTGTGATAAGCTGCGGATAGAGGAGACTAGAGAGTCTGAAAGGCAGAAGGAAAGACAGGGTCATGCTCCTTTCTGTTGGTTTTCTGTTAGGATCACTATCAGCAGTGGTTTTACACCTCAGTAGCAGTGGCTGCCAAGTGTTTATTTCAGTTCCCAATTTTTTTCTCCATAATCTGATACTCAGGCCCTCTTTCTCACAGATGCCTGCACCAGCTCCACTGGTACTTTCCTTTGAGCTCCTGAGCCATCAGCATCAGCCAGACAGCATGTCTTCCTCAGAATTCTGGGTCTCAGCTCTGTGGGACCATCCTTTTTCCAAGCTCTTTGTTCTAATAACCCTGGTCATTTCTGTTTGTCATCCCAGCCCTAGGGCCAGCAGTTGAATTCTGCAGTTACTACTTTTGTTACCACAGTGTTCTTTCTTTCCTTTTTCTAGTCCTCCACCACCTGTTTAACTGAATCCCTATATAAAGTTGTCTCTATTAAAATAACTGGCATGACATTTATTTTCTTAACTAGAATCATAGTATGAGACATATGAATCTATATTGAAACATATGTACATAGTTATTTAAGTTTATTTTTATATGTTAATAGAAAGCAAACGTCTTAATATCTGTAAGTAATTTTTTCTTTATGGTAAATCAGTGTAAACTCTCATGAGCTACTTGAAAACCAGGATTGCTATGGGTTGGATGTAGTTTGTCCACACCAAAACTCCTGTTGAAATTTGATATCTAACGTGGTGATGTTGAGAGGTTGGGGCCCAGTAGGAGGAGATTGGGCCATGGGGGGTAGATGCATCCTAAATATATTAATGTCTTCCATGGGGGTGAGTGAGATCTCACTCTCTCTTGACAATGGATTCATTTCTGTGAGAGCAGGCTCT